GTCCGGTATGGATGTTTTCATTGAGATTTATTTGTAAAGCAACAAATCCAGTTTTATGTTAAGTAGGTGGGTTGTTAATCTGCAAGAATGCCATTCTCCATCAGGCCTTTATGAATTGTTCGTAAGTACCAAGCCAGACAATGAAAGCTTTATATTCATTCTGTAATTAGCCAAAATAATTCTCGTTAAACTCTGATAAAAACTTCTAGTATGAAATGAATGTCAAGTATTCCTTCTTTATCTTTTTTTTCTGGTTTCATTGAGCTCGTGTATTATTGAACAACAGTCCTCTGAGTCGCTTTTCCCGGATTTTTGTGTTGCAGATTGAAAATGTTGATGTCTGCCTTAGTTTTCTAGCAGCCAGAGGGGTAAATGTTCAAGGTCTATCTGCTGAAGGTAAGAAAAAGCACAGTTGTGCTTTGATCAGTGCTTCTAACAATTTTTCATAACCTAAAAAATGTAATGTTGGAGCATATAGCTCCTTAATGCAATAAAGGAAATTGGTCAAGTTCCTCAAAACATAAACATAATAATTATTAATGCATACTTTAATTATTTAAAGTATTTTCCATATTTTACCAGCACTGTTCTTTTCATGATTAAGTATATGGAGGGGGGTGAATCAGTAAAGCATCCTCATGTTATTACTAGGGCCTCATGCTTTTAGACTCTTAAGTAGCCTCTCTAGATATATGGTAGGTAACATAAATACATGTCAAGCAGTATAATTATGGCTCAAATGTGATTTTATCAGTAACATTTCTATCACATAATCCAGTTGGCAATGATAGTCAAAATATTTTCTATGTTTAAATAAATCATCATGATTCCTTAAATAATTAGCTCTAATAGTATTAGTCAGTGTTATATATAAAGGCTTTAAACTATTAGATTTTTCAAAGATCACCATTAAAATTGACATACAGTAAAATGGGAAATGATTGAACCAGTATTGTCATTTTTTTCTGAGCCCTTTTTCCTTTCACATATAAAAATAGAAAAAGTTTGCAAAAACTTGCCCTGCATATAAGATAAAATTTGCCACACTTAAGAAAACGAAATGATGTTGAAATCTTTTATGTTTATATGTCATGAAGTATTATTATATTATACATTTCAAGACCAGAAATCTTAGGCACAGACCTAATTGCTGGTTCTGTTGCTTAGATTAACATTTGAGTAAAATTTCCCAGGACATATACGTTCCTTTCTGAATGGTTAAAGGTCGGGTAGAAATGTCACCATCTGTTCATTTGGTGCCTCTTTTCAAATAGCAACATATATTGATATGGGCCTATTGATTTTCATTCATCTTTTAAAAATGAACAAATGCTTGTCAAAATGATTTTCTAAATTCATTACAGATACATACTAATTAAATGAAAAAAATGAAAACTCTTCAAACAGGTCATTCAGGCTTACAGGAGAAGATTAATACTTTCTCATTGTAGTTTCAGATTGCTTAGGTCGACTTTTCTATAGTACAGAAAGTACGAGGAAGATCTGGGGGGAAGTAAACAAATCGGAGATTCATTTCATATGAATGATTCTACTTCATGGTGTGGATTACATAAATATCAGAAAACAAGGAATCCAAATGTTTGTTAAGTTTTGTTTATGTCACCTCCCGAAGGGGACATACAACCTTGATCTCAGAGGAGATTGATATTTTTTATTGCCAACAGCAACTTTTATTTAATGGAGCTTTATTTCAAGCTTTACTTCTCTTCCTAATTTTTAAGTCATAACTACAGAAGAGAAAGGTAGGATCATGTAGTAGTCTACTTGGAGAAAATTTTTTTTTATTCAATATTTGAAAAACTCACACTGGAGCTCCATCTGTACAAGGAATTCCATTGAACAGTTATCCACTTATGTGATATAACACCACATAAACTGATCTTTATTATTTATTTATATATCATAGATTAAAAAGTAAAGAATTAGAACTTTACGCATTGATGATGTAGTGTGCTTTTGGAAGATATATAGATGAGATATACATTTGGAATATATATACAGGGTGGCCAGAAAGTTCCTGTGCAATTTAAAGTAGCCAACTATTTTAAGCATATTTGTATTTTTTAAAAACTATCCATATACCGTGTGGCTATAAAGTTCCTGTGCAATTTTACAATAGCCAACGAAAAAAGTTGCACACGAACTTTATGGCCACCCTGTATATGTACAAATAAATTGGTAGGTGAGTGATTTTGTAGGAATGTGCTTGCTGTAAATTCAGGTAGCATCACGAGGTGCACCCACATCAGCAGTATTTATAAATGCAGGCCAGCCAACACGCAAGTGGGTTCCTCTCTCCAGTTCACAGCCACTGCCGTGTCGCTAACTCACAGCTGTGTGTATCTGTAAGGGAAGCAGTGTGCTAAACCAAATGGTCCGTTCAAGAGAGAGTTGAGCTTATCTATTTACAACAAGAATTTAACTCTAGAAAAATTGTAGTTCAGGGGTAGCAAAGAATCTCTCTTTGGAGTGAGGTGTGTTTCTCTGCCCTCGGTGTTCTCATTCTCTTTAAGCTCTTTGAAAATGTTAGGGCATCTCAGCAACTCGGGGTTGTCTGAGTCTGTGACCGGGCACCGAGGCATTCCTGTCTCCGTAGAGCTAGCTGAAGAGGGGTGACTCTAGTATGTCCTTTGTTACAGTAGTCACTGCATGTTATCCGTGTTTTGTATTTTCTGTTTAATACAGAAATAAGAAATGGAAACTTAAAAGCCATTCTAGGGCTGTTTTTCAGTCTGTCTCGCTACAAACAGCAGCAGCACCACCAACAGCAGTATTACCAGTCCCTGGTGGAGCTGCAGCAGCGCGTCCCGCACGCCTCCCCGCAGCCGGACGCCAGTCAGGCCAAAACCCAGCAAGATATGCAGTCCAGGTAAGGACGGGAAACAGCAAGTCGCTTTGGAATGAACTCCTCTCAATGCAACTTGGTTTTTAAAAAAATTATTGTTTACAAGTGTGAAAACGTACTTATGTAATATCTGTGTGATGGGATTATTTGGCTCATATTAATAATGTTAAAGTCACTTTCTTTTGGTTGGACAAGCAGCATCTGTCATCTTTTAGGTGGAATATTTTGTTTGTTTTCTGATAATTGTTCTTCTGTATCAAAGTGTGAAATGTCTCTGGTGTCAGTAGTGTGGTGTGGCTACTTCCTTCTACAGGTTTCTTTAGCACTTTGAATATGAAGTTAAGTCCTAGCCTCCTGTTATGTATAATAGTTATCTCTCCTTGATGCTTCTAATTAGGTAAATCTGTCAAACATTTCCCATCTGTTAAACATAGAGCAAGAGAGGATTGAGAACACTGTTTCTGGCGTGAGATTGTGTGTGTGTGTTATTAGCACATACCTGCATGTGTGTGTCTGGCTTGAGTCTTTGGGCACACGTATGTATGTGTAGACACAGCGCTGGGGGTGGGGGGTGCTCCCAAATTATGGCAACGTCCTTCCTTCTTCTATTTCAATTACTTTTGCCCAACTGTACGAACCTGTGTTCAACCAGAGAGGCAGAGTCAGTGAGCGAGATATACAACAGGATTTATTGTGAAGAATCGGTTCATGTATTTTGGGGAGCTGGCTACGGGCAACTTTGAAATCTGCAGGGCAGCTGCGGAGGAAGGATAGGCCGAGACTCTTACTAGGAGTTGAAACTGCTGGATAGAGGTAGAATGTCTTCTCTCAAGGAAGCCTCAATTCTGCTTTTAAAGCCTTCCAACTGGCAGAATTAAACTCACTCAGACTATCTGTGATAATCTCCTTACTCAATATCTGTTGATTATGAACTGTAATCACATCACCAAAATATCTTCACAGCAACACCTGCGTTGGATTTGACTGAATAACCAGAACTGTTGTCTAGCCTGGTTGACGCATAAAGGATCACAAAGTGAAGTTGCATTGAACGTGTTTCATGCAAACCGCTGCTACGTTTGTTTCCATCAGTTAGTTCACTCTATTCTGTATGTTTTTCTCAAGAAGGGAGGATGTAAAAATATTCGTCTTTAAAAATATACGCCTATCTCAAACAGATGTAAATATTTTACTTTTTCCATCTTAGAAGCCAATCTTGAAGCTTGATAATTCTCAGTGAAGCGTGAGTTTGATAATTAGAAATGAGTCAAAAATAAAAATAAAACTTCAAAATAAATCGAGGCACCACCTCCCACTCACTGGAAATTGTTTAGCTGTTCAGGAAACACTTTCTCCTTCATGTATTAACCAGCCTCACCCAAACCTTGGGTCTTACTTCATTTTAAGCCTTCTTTCTTTCTCTGGATAACCTGTAAATTCTATTCCCTTGGCAGAGTTTTACTTATCAGTGAATTTTTAAATTAATAAAGAAAAAAATCATGGTTTTATCAGAAATATAGCATATCGCATAAAGTTT